TAATTTTTCGGCCGACAATAATTGAAAATATATTTATTAAAAGAAAGTAACATCGTCAATTTCTACTATAAATTGCGCTAACCCGTATAGCTAAACGCCGATGTATTCTAATCCGGAATTTCTGGATCCCCTGTGTGAATGATGTATAAACGAATATCTTCTAACAACTAATACTATATAGTTTATCCTTAATTGAATGTGTTCGATAATTGAGGAATTGGGATTAAATATTAGAGTTCTATATTACGACACGAGCTCTCTTATGGATATCAGAGTTTTGTGCACGATTTATGTAATTTACGATGCTTTCGTTAGCCTTTATTAATTTTATTTAACCAACTTTATTCATTTTTTTTATTAACGGATACTTATTTTTCTTAGCTTTAACTAATTGAACTCTCGATATCGCTTTAATAGCTTATGCACTAGCTAAATGGAATGTGTAAACTGAATACATCAAAATAGTCATCCTAAAGAAGTCTGGTCGGAGTCCACCCAGAATTTGGAATTACTCTTTATTTATAGATGCAGGTTTTATGACATAAATCAGTTATGTCCTATACAAAATTTATTTCAAACCGGTTTATAGAATAAAGCGTAAATAGCCTGAATTTATAACGTTTACATTTTTACCCACGAAAAAAACTCTTTAAAATCAAATATTCAGTAAAACAAAACACCAATGTCATTCAATCATAAAAATCGGTATCATCCTTATGAGCAAGTTAACACCAACGAAATTTTAAAGAAAGTTCGTGACCAGGAAAAGTTCAAGAAACTATCTAATAAAGAACAAGATGAAATTTATGGGTTGCATGTTATTAATTTATTTCAAAAAAAAGGCATAAACATACATGCTTTCAAGACTGATCTCAAGATAGACAATCAGTATATTTTTACAGGTAAGTTTGGTAATCTCCATTTCTTTAACATGTGTGGGATTCATGGGTTAAAGTTGCCTAGGCGAACATTATAATTATGATATGGGCTAGGTGCTGAAAAAAGGGCTAAAAATGATAATTTTTTCAAAAGTGATTTTTTTTTTTTATAAAATTAATTTAGAATAAGATTAAGATCATTTTTTACTTAAGATACAAAAGTAGTTGTATTAATAAAATTTGTAGTATAGCTCTTTAAAGTTTGTATTTACTTAAGATACAAAAGTAGTTGTATTAATAAAATTTGTAGTATAGCTCTTTAAAGTTTGTATTTTCTTATGATTTGTTATAAGATTTAAGATTTATAATTTCTCAGCACCTAGCCCATATATTCTACATTTTATTTGGTTAGATGATATAATAGATCTTTGTATTAATATATATATATATTATTTAGGTGATGGTGAAATAAAAATGTTGGGTTTTATAAAAAAATTCAATATTCTAGTTCAAAGCAAATATGAATCAGTAACTCCAAGTGAAATTAGAAATTTTACAAATATTTTATCTGGTTATGATGAGGATATTTTAGGAATTTTTGTAGCCTCTTCCTTTAGTAAGAAAGCTTTGACTTTTGCAAATACGTATCCGAGAAAAATATTTCTTATTGTGGACAATTTAAAAGATTCAAATAATTTTGATGAAATTTGCAATGATATCACAAAATATTTGGTTTGTAAAGAAAATGATAAAAAATCATCTCGTTATCATGCAAATGTTAAACAGATTGGACGTATTAAAGTTACGTTGAAGAATCAAACTTTAGAATATTATAATTTAAATATATATGGGAATGGTGAATCTATAGTAGAAATTGACGATGTTACTTTCTTTTAATAAATATATTTTCAATTATTGTCGGCCGAAAAATTATTATTTGAATAATTTTATTTAAACAATAAGTTATCACGAATGTCCAATTGAAATTGTACATATGTCCAAAAAAAATTGAAACCAATTGGGCAATTTTTGAATGTGTGCCAGGTTTGTGGCGCAGATTGTCTGAACTACGAATCAGATTTCTAGATCAGGTACAACGCAAGTAGGTTTTCTGTGCCAGGTTTTGTCGATTATGTGACGCAGGCAAAATCTTTTAAAGTTTATTACTGTTAGGGTTAGCGTTTAAAAATCACTTATTTCTCAAAAACTAGCATAAAAAACCACCTTCGGTGCTTCAACAAAAAATATTCCGGTCGCGTTATGTTGCACCTGATCCTTGAAATCTGATTTATGGATCCGACAAAACTGGCACAAAAAACCGATTTGCAACACGAACAGGAATATTCAAAACGAACGGCCGTTTTGTAAAAATCGCTTATTTCTTGAAAAATTGCATATGAAACTATCCTTTGAGAACTAACAAAAAAGTTTTCTTTGAGTAATTTCTATATACGTTCTTAATCTCTAATCATAATAACCATAAAATAAACCAGCTTAAAAGAATTTTGACTGCGCCACAAACCTGGCACACATTCAAGAATTGCACTAATTGGACATTGTGACGTGTCATTGGGGGTGCGTTCAACATGTATAGATGTATGTCAAATTTTATACGTACGTATGTGAATTTTTTTTTAAAAAAATTAGTGATCAGAAGAGTGATTGGATTTATTTATCACTTTTTTATATATATTTTTAATACGTTTTAGATGTCTAGAGTGAATCGCTTTACTTTTTTTAATTATTTTAACATAAATCTACTCTTAAACACGTTTATAACAAAGTTACGTTGAAAAATTTTTTAAATTATTTCAAAGAGAGATATTTTCGTTATAAGTAAACGTAACTTTGTTTTAAATGTGTTTAAGAATAGGTTGATGCTAAAATAATTGAAAAAAGTAAAGCGACTCGCGCTAAACATCTAAAACAAGTCCTCATTATTTACTATATATTAAAATACATATATAAAGTCAAATTTGAAAAAAAATTCACATATAAATTTTGATATACATCTATACATAGCTTTGATTTACATAGTTGCCAACGTGTCATCCCTGGCGTAATTGGATATTTTTCAATATCTTCCTTATCGATCTTACCTACGGATCATTTTTAATACTTCTGCACCTACCGCTACCGCTACTTTCTAATTAAAGATTTTATAGTAAATTTTTTGGATCTGCACGCTATATTAAATAATTATGAAAATCGAATTTACTATCTCTCGTAATCTTTCACATTTTTTAAACCTATACAAGCAAAAGGTTTAAAAAAAAGTATCATTATATCGTAACAACGTCAGAATTTTATTTTACTAATTAAACTACCGTAAAGTGCCATACGGTAGATCCCCCTATCCCTATGAGATATACCCTGTGATTATTTGAGAATTTAATATCTGGGTATATACAATCATATCAAGGTTAAATAAATAGTGCCTCTATACCGAGTACTTTATCTCTTCCTACTTTTGTACCCTGGGTATAGCTCAAGACATTGTAAATACCTGGTTACATCAGTTGGTACTTTACGGTATATTATGGGTTAAAATCCGGCCAATGATTTACTATGTGGCCTGCATTATGTTAAACATGATGCAGACCACATAGTAAATCGTTGACCGGGGTAAAATCGCCACCCAAAAAAGTTTCGAACATCATGGAACAATTATAGAGCACCAAAATTTATGTAACTTGAACAAAAAATACAAACGAAAAAACTTTATAGACTAAAATAATAACGATAAACAATTTGTTTATTTCG